GTCTTCACATGAATAACCTATCTTTTACTAGTTTGTGTTGTGATAGCAAAAAAAAAAAAAAAGCAGAGAGAAACTTATAGCATGATTCTTTGAATGATCATATATATGATGGAATTTAGTAGCTTAGTAATATTACATAATGATTTTTCTATGAATTTGGTTAGATTTTGAAATAATTATTTCATGATACATTAACATATGAATGAAATAATAAGTTAAATTAGTTATATGTATTAATTTACATTGAAACCCCAATGATTGAATCATTGATAGGTAAATATCGTTTTGTAGTTTACGTTTAAAATTAAAGTCATGGGGCTTGCACCAAAAGAAAATAATTTTCTTAAATACACCCAAACAATAAATTTAAAAAAAAAAAAAAAGATTGAAAATTCTGTATGTAGATATATTCCGGCTGGTTTTGATCACATGATGATGATGTGATCATTATATATAACATATATAAAAATGAAAAACATTCAACATTTCTTGACTAATTATAATTTGATGGATTTGAAAGAACTCTCTTCGTGTCCATACCCTACATTCAAGAAAATTTCAAATCCTTTTCAATGCTTAATGGTTAATCGTTGTTAATTATCTGTAAGGTGTACTCTTGTAATTGCTTGTAACTACTCCTTAGGAAAAAAAATATTATTTTCTTTCTCCAATTACCAAGAACATTTTTCTTTTATTTCTCAAGATATACCCCTTTAATTCATTTTTAGTTATTCTATTTTAATTTTTGATTTTTTGAATATAAATTTTAGATAAAAATTTAACAACTTATATAAATAACAATTAAAAAATTCTTCTTATATATAGTTCTTGCTGAATATTTTTATTTAATAAAAAAATTCAATTATTATTTATATAATATGATAAATTTTTATTTAAAATTTATATTCAAAAAGTCAAATTAAAATTGTTAAAAATAAATAGAGGGCATAGTAAATAATCATCTCTTTTTAATGTTTAGAAAACGTTAAGGTGTTCCTTTAAAAAAAAAAAAACGTTAAGGTGGTGCTCAATCCATCCCAAGCTAAGGATTTAGATTTTTTTTTTTTTTGTAAGCATTACTGTAAGGATTAATTTAGAATCATTTTATTTTTGTATATTTAAGTATCCTAAACTATTTATACAGATTACTGGTAAGAGTGAAAAGTGTGGCTTCAACACATTTCATCTTGTTATGACCTCATGATTATCTCAACCTTTGAAAGTTTAAAATAGTCTAATTAATTATACCCATATATAAGTTTTTAAATACATCGTAGTCAAATGACGTCTTAATTGATAAAAGTTGATGATTTTGATTTAGAGATCCTAAATTCAAATTTGAAACAGTAAAGAAAATTTTGAAAAAAAAAAAAAAATTATACATACATAACTCACTTGTAAGATGTACTAATTTTTCGAACAACGAAAAAGAATTTTTTTATTTGAAGTACAACAAGTACTTCATCCCTTACATGTTCGTCCAAATGTACTAACTGCTCTTTGATACAGCAATTGCCACCATCCAGATTACCCCCAGCATTGAAGCTACCACCCTAAATTTTTTATCTGCCATTTGGTTTGTTACCCCCTTTTCCCATGATAGGGTTAATTTAATAAATAGTTTAGTAGGTTTTGTATTTTCATTTATTATTTTTAGATATTTTTATATCTATTTATTATTTATTATTTATTATTTATATTTTAATTTAATCTAATCTAATTTGTTAGTTTTTTAACAGCAGTTTCATTTCACTTGATTAAATTGATTTTCAATTATATTTTTTGTAAATTTTTACTCTTTTAAAATTAATTTTGAGATAAAACTAATCTTGTGAGGATGATAAATTTTTTTCATTGTCTGAGGAAGTATAGTCTTTATTACATATTGTTTCAATTTTCCTTTTTAACAATTCTCTTTTGTAGCAA